TCTGCAGGTTCCTTTTGCTCTTTTTTCCCTGTTTCTCTCTTGAAAAAGAACTACTTTTTCCTCTAATTTATTTCTTTCGAGTCGTAACCCAACTCCACCTATTTTCTACTTGTTTTTTAGTGGCAGTACAAAATGTGGGCAGGAGTGCTTCAGATAACATTCAAATGGAGTTTGAAGCTAAATCTGCAAGAGATGGTGCATGGTTTGTCTTTTAAGTCATTCTATACATTTGCTTCATTTCCATCATCATTAGATCTTGGTTGCTAGTAATTATAGATTAATGATATTATCCTTCCTTAGGTATGATGTAGCAAGCTTCCTATCACATAGATCCGTGGAGACTGCTGATCCGGTAATTCTCAGAGATACCTATCTAATGTTCCATGAAAGATATTATTGTTAGCCTGGTGGTTAAATTTGTACATTATGAATAGAATTATCTTTCCGCTCTTTCTTTTTACCCAATGGAGTTTGCCATTGATTGTTGAGGCAAGTTTAGCCCTAAATCAGGAAATACATGATTGGTGCTTTTCTAGTTTCGTTTTCCAGCCCCTCTGTAACATGCGTGGCCTTTTTGTCTGATGTTGAGGATCATAATTCAAACTATGTCTTTTTCTGGAACATGCTCCAAAACTAGAGGCTATCTCCATGAAGTTGTTTCATTTACCTTGTGCATATCTTCTTCTTCCTGTCTGTTTTACCTTATCCCCTTTTTTTTTCTCTTAATGGTCACAAACTTCTAATTTCAGGAAGTCCTTGTTCGATTCGCGGGGTTTGGAGCAGAGGAGGATGAGTGGGTAAATGTACGTAAGCACGTAAGACAGCGATCCCTTCCATGTGAATCGTCAGAATGTGTTGCAGTTCTCCCTGGCGATCTGATTCTTTGCTTCCAGGTGCATTTTATTATGGGTCAAATGTTAAAGCTAAACTTACCAAACTGTCATCATTTAGCTAAGGCTCTTATAATTTTCAGGAAGGCAAAGAGCAGGCTCTCTACTTTGATGCGCATGTCCTTGATGCTCAAAGACGCAGACATGATGTGAGAGGTTGCCGTTGTCGGTTTCTGGTTCGTTATGATCATGATCAGTCTGAGGTATTCAATTAATCCCTTTTTCTGTAATTTTCTGCTTTTATCTCTACATTCTGGCCTAAGCTTTCCTGAATGTATTTCAGATTTCTGACTACTTTGTGCTTTACTGGTAAAAGTGTTTGTTGCTTGTTACTAACAAAAAAACAATTGTTCATAAGGAAGAAACAGCTTTAGCAGCAAATAATCGCTCGTTAAAAACTGTATCTTCCTTGTAAATTTGACAACTGCTGTTTACAGATTGGTTATTACTCCTATCTTTTTATCATGCCTCCTTTTTTTAGCCTTGTATTGATCTGTTATGATACGTTAGTTTCTACAGCTGTCCTTTGGCTGAAATCAGCAACTGAAGAGAGATCACCCCTTGTTCCTTTGTATGGTTAGTAACACTTGCCCTCTGAAAGACGTCAGCTGGAATATCGATCAGTGTCAGACAGACAAACGAAATTGATCAAATAAAATATTGAGGAAATAAATACCAGGAACATGTTAAGGAAAAGACCAGTGATTATGATGGATAAGATATTATGTGGTGCTACACGTAGACTGAACATAAGTGTAGTACGGGACGTTCTAATAGTTTTTTATCCTAGGCTAAGCCTAGTTTATGAGGGAGAACAAAGATAAACTTGGAACTAGGCAAAGGGAGGGAGGGGGAGAGGACGGGGGTGTGGCCGTATAGCCCATCCATTAGAAGAAATAGAATAATGACTTGGAGGCCAACTATATTCTAATGCAGCCAAGTGGTTTTTGAATAGTCAGGGAGCCATTTTCAAACATGGTGGTACCGACAGTTGCTGCAGATGAAAGTTTTTGCATTGTTATCTATTCCTGGTTATTTTGGAATATATCTGAGGCTTCTACTTAGAGGACCATGTTAAATTTGAAGTTAAAAAGAGACTTCAAAATGTTTAGGTGTAATATCTGATGCTTGTCGCATGTAAGTCGGTTTTTTATAGACCTTGTGCTGCGCAATGGGGGTACACTATCTACCTTTAATGTTGGTCATTTATGCTTGAGACATCTAGTTTTCATCCATAGGTGTTAGTAGTTTTATAGAATTTGTCAAGGATAGACATCATATCATAGTTTTCACTTGGGTTTAATTGACTGTCTTCTCCTATCCAGGAAATTGTTCCTCTGAGAAAGGTTTGTCGTCGGCCTGAAACTGACTATAGGTTGCAGCAACTAAATGCTGAATCTCTGAAGCAGCAAAAAATAGGTAACGACATCACAAGGGGCAACACTACAAAGGTTTATCCTCCAGCTGAAACAACACAGAAAGCTCAAACTGAATCAAGGATAATAGCAGCAGAACCAACACAAAAGCAGCCTGCACCGGAGGACACCACCAAGCCAGTACCCAATTTTGCTCCTATGCAGCTGCAGAAATCTAGTACTGATTCTCTAACAGGAAATACTTTGGCGGAAACAACACCCCAGTGTATGGAAGAAATGACAGAGAAGCCTGTAGCTGGAACAACTGAGGTGCCAGATGAAGCACCAGAGAAGTCTCCTGTTGAAGCACCAGCTGAAACAGCAGGAAAGTCTCCTGCTGAAACAACTCTTGAGCCTCCGGCTGCTTCAACGTCGAAGCCAGATGAAGCACCAGAGGAGCCTCCTACTGAAACAACTCTTAAGCCTCCGGCTGCTTCAACAACGAAGCCAGATGAAGCAGCAGAGCAGCCTCCTGCTGAAGCAACTCTTAAGCCTCCGGCTCCTTCAACATCAAATCCAGATGAAGCACCAGAAGAGCCTCCTGCTGAAACAACTCTTGAGCCTCCAGCTGATTCAACGTCGAAGCCAGCTGAAGAACCAGAGGAGCCTCCTGCTGAAACAACTCTTGAGCCTCCAGCTGATTCAACGTCGAAGCCAGCTGAAGAACCAGAGGAGCCTCCTGCTGAAACTAGTCTTAAACCTCCGGCTGATTCTATATCAAAGCCAGCCGAAGCACCAGCGGAGCAGCCTAAGGAAGAGGAACATGTCTATGCTGGAGCAACTGCAGCTTCCATGGATCATGATAATGCATCTGTATAAGCAAATCTTTGTCGCCAAAAGTTATAAACATCGTCAGTGTGGTCAATATTACTAAGTTAGGATTCCTAGGGAAAGAGAAGCCCCGGAGTTGGAGGAGGCTGGATAAAAACTTATTCTTGCGGATTCCTCCTTCCCTTATGTTGTTGAATACGAGGGACTTTTACTAGTAGCTCCAGTCAGTCAGTAAATAGACTTGTAAAAAATTTAGATTTGCCCTTGTAACCTGAACTCTGATTCTTATCTTTTGCATCATCATCAGCCGATACTACTCTATTCTTCTTGCTACATGAGTTTTAATATGCCTTTGTTCCTTTTCTGCCCTTGTTCCTGTTCTTCTTCAATATAATTACTTTAATTTTTTTGTGAGGTGGACCTATTGTTTTTGTTCATTACCATTCTCTGATTTTTGTTTTCACAGAAATTTCAGCAGCTTCTTAACTGTAAATTTCTTGACTTAAAAGTTATTCGATAGACTCTTTATCAGAACATGTTTTTCAATTTTCTCATATTTGGTAATTAAAATGTAATGAAAAATACCAACTTCTTACTGAAAAATCTGCAGGTTGAACCCAAGGTCGAGGAGTTTTGTCAGTGATCAACAACAATAAAGTAGTGAGTGGAGGCTATACTTTGCTGCTATGGATCTTTGGTCCAAATAGCCATTTTTTCTACCTCATTGATTATGGTTGTAGTTAGGGGTGTTCGTCAGTTGGTACATAATAATATTTAGTCATTTCGGTTCGATATTCAGTTTTTTAAAATACTATACCAATATCATACCTATTTAAATTCGTTATGATTCAGCTTTTCTCCTTTCTATTTCGGTTTATTCAGTTTGACAACTTCGGTTTGTTAGGCTCAAATATTAACTAATGCATAAAGCCATAGAATGTAATATTCTTAAGGTACTCACAAATATGAAAACAAAAATATTATAATATAATGGGAAAAAGATGGAAACCCAAATGCTAAACCTAGACGGGAGAAAGGTTAGTAGGAACCCGAAAAAGCGGGGAAAGACAAGTATAGTGGGAAAAAAAGGTGGTAAAGGTTAAAGAAAACTATAAAAATAGCGGGAAGTAAATTCAGAACTTTAATATTTATGCTAGAATCAATAATATATGTATTGTGTAATTTAATATATATTTCGGTACAATGTCGGTATTTCGGTATTTTATTTTTAAATACCGAATACCATACCTAATACCAATTTTTTTTAAAAACTTAAACCAAATACCATACCAAATAGCAAAATTTTCGGTTTCGATACGATAATTCGGTATTTACTAAATTATGCTTAAGCCTAGTTGCAGTACTACATTCCCTGGACACAAAATCAAATGGCTTGGCTATCACATAACTCCAACACTAGTTGAAGAAAATTATTCAAGGGGTTACTTTTATTCAAGCTGCAGACTACATTGAGAGACAAGGGAACCAAATCAGAACAGTCCAATGGTAACCACGGCCCTAGACTATGGTAAAGCAACAAGAAAATTTCACAAATATCACAACTAGAAGAATATACGAAGTGTACAACATACAAGATCATCACGAACTTCACTATCTACTGTTTAATGATCCTATTTCTTGGAAACAAATATTTTCAAGTGGCTCCTACAACTTCTGTTTGGCATTTACATATCGCACTATACTTCATGAACTGGTTGAGGATGGATGTAGTCGTTAAATCATTTGACTTCGCCAAAAAGAAGACAGATGAACGAACATATATGGTCTTCTGGCCTTAACCAATCCAACACCTCCGGATTTGCACTGCTGGCCTTTATATAGCCTGATCCGAACTGCCTTGTGCAACTACAGAAATCTTGCGCATAAACTGGCTAGTATCTGCTTCTGTTCTGTCTGGCTGCAAGAAGGAATTTTTGTCCATCAGAATGACATTTCTGTCTTATATATGTGCTCTGGATAGGAGATCAGAAACTTTTGACACTACAATTGCATATAATCCAACTTATTTATGTCGTACTTCAAGAAAAATGCCGCCTATATTTTGAACAGATTTGCCGCCCCTGCACACACAGGAGCATGTATTTCCACTGCAAGTAGGAATATCTTGGCAATGGCTATTGTTTCTGTGGTGGCAGCATGTTTAAACCTTACGGGCCCATAGTATCATTTAGTGTTACAGAATATGCCCTCGGATAGCAGAGCAAACATAAACTATGACGGAAAGCATATAAATTGAACAAGAAATCCCTCAACAAGGCCAGTAATTTTCCGTTTCTGCCTCAAATCACGTGCCTATTTGCCTTAACTTCAAAACATCAGGTCAATTTTCTTACTCCATCTAGCAACCCTACTGTAACCCAGAGCTCACAACTGCAACAAAATGGTTGGTCCCCGTTGGAGGTATATATACGAAAGCGATTAGTTATGATGATAAAAGAAAAGAATGTTGTTTTCCTATTTTCTCCTGCCATGCAGCAAAAAAAAGCATCAAGTAATTCTACTTTTGTAATATGTCCACAAACTAGTAGTCAAATCTACTCACAGAAATTTGTCTCATCCTATTATTATGTTTTTTCCTAACTGGAAATTGCAAAATAATGGAAAAGTAGTGTACTAAACCTGGTCTTCATTTCTAAATCATATTCTTGCACTATTTTGTATCCTCAGATGTTTTATTGCGGTCGTCTCTGTTCGCTTCAGTGCTATCTACAGGACGTGCTGATGTTAGATCCTTCGAACTCAACTGTGCTTCACCTTTATTATTAGTTTCTTCACTAGCAGAATCTCCCATGATAGAGTTCAAGGCAAGCTGACCCGAATAAAGGAACAAACCGACAGAGTTGATGCCAAAGACAAATGTTGCGAGGTAGCATATTCCATTTATAATAGTTCTGCAAACAGTTTTTAAATAAGAAGGTTTCATAATCTTTCACCAGTAATGCATGCATTAGTATAAAGGAAAGATATTAGAAACTACCTAATCGTTATTGTTATCTGGCGAACCTGTTACAAACACAACGAACGAATGATTATCAAATGGTAAACAATAGAAGTATGGTATAGATTTTCTCCCGTTCACCCTTTTTCCTATTCTGAATGAGTTGTCTGAATCTTTACTCAACTTACTATGCATAGTGGGGGTAACAATGGAAAAATGGGAGCAAAGAAACAGCAAATTCAAAGGCAAATGAGAGGCAAACCGAGAAACTATCTGAAAGCGCCTGGCGATTGAGAGAAGCTTCAATGGTGGTAGTGAACTTGTAAAGGAGAAGTGCAATAACACCCGCTGTTAAACCTCCCAACAGTGCTTGAACAGGTGAAGGTGGAGCTTTGGCGTCAACTGGTGTTGGCGTCATAGCTTTCAAACTCTCCATTGCCTCCTCCTTCAACGTTTTCTTCGCCCCTGTTGACCTAAGTTTCTAATACCACCAAAAAGAAAGCCCCATATTACTACATTAAAGCTTGACAAAAAAACATATATTCTCACCTAATACCTTAAGTCATAACTGGGATTAAAGTCCTACAAGTAGATTATGCCTCCTTCTCATATTACATGTTATCATGTCAAATACTTAATGCATATCCAATCAACTGAACAAGAACTGAAGCTAAGGAGTGACATACTTACTCATACTTCCACAATCATATCAATGAAATTAAAAATAAACAGAGGAATAACATGAAGATGAAAGCATGTACCAGCGTAGCTACACTATGGCAAGGGTGGTCACGCGAACACCCTTCGCCGAAAGATCAAATATTACTTTATATAGTTAAAATATTACTTTTTGAACACCCTTAATATAGTTGAGTGAGGCACTCGAGTAGTCTAGGGTATTCACGAGTTCAAATCTCTATAAATATATATATTTTCCCATTTTGTTTGCCAAACTAAACGGATACCACCGTATGTGGTCTATCTGACTCCTTTTTATACTGAATTTTTTTCTAATAAATAACTCTTAAAATTTAAATTTTGTGTAAAAACAAACAACTAATCTTAAAAGTAGTTTTAAAATTAAACGTTGTTTCTTAAATAAATTTTATAATTTAAAAGTCAAGCTTTGCAAAAATTTCTTCAATAACAATTCTCTTGATACTACAAATCCTCTCGACTCTCTCTTTCCTTTGATTTTATGCTTACTTTTATCAGTAAATTTCTATTGTCATCTTTTTTATGTTAGTTTTGATTACAAGTGTTTTTATTGTTTAGATAAATGTAGCTTAGTTTAATTTTAAAAAAATTGTGCACCCATTCGTCGAGAAAAAAAATTATTGGCTTCTTTAAAGTTTGAACACTTTTGGCGAGATTTGTGGCTACGACACTGCATGTACAATCTATTCATTGCCTAATAACCTTGTGCTGCTCCATTTTATATGATACTATTACTTCTTGAGAATTCAATAATTTTTGTTAATTTGTCAAACATTTTGAATATTTTTAACAATAAAATATGGGACTTGTAATATCTTTATCCAGCACCAAACACATAAATATTACTCTCTCTTCCCATTTCATGTGACACAGTTTACTTTTTAGTCAATCCCAAAAACAATATACATTTTTATATTTAGTACTCTAACAAATTTAACTATAAACTTTTCATTTTAAGTTTTAACAACATGACTATAGAGCCATACAAATATTTATGACATGTTTTAAACTACAAGTTTTAAATTTTTTTATTTCTTTCAAACTCCTTATCTAGTCCAATAGTCACACAAATATATTTTGGAGTTAGTGAAAATATGCAAAATTCACACAATGGAGAGTGTAAAGACGAGAGCTTTACCAGTTCTTTAGCACGTTTAGCGCGGCGGCGGAGGGAGCGAAAGAGGAAAACGGAAATAGCACCGGTGAGGAGAAGACTAGTGGCAGTTTGAAGAGGAGAAGGGTCATCAGAAGTAGCAAATATATCCGTTATTGAAGATGGAAGCTCAATGGGTCCCTCCTCCAGTGGCGCGTCGGTTGTAACGGTAACTGTTTCATCTGGGGCCTCAGCAAGCCATGACTGTGACGGCGGCGCGTGGGATTTAGTGGCTGAGACTGAACGGCGCGTGGCAATGGGTTTGTGGGGCAAATTGTGAAATGAAGTGATGGGGTTAGGAGGGAAAGAGAGAGGGAAGAAGTAGTTGGATGAGATGAAGGATTGTGTCTGCAACATTTCAAGAATTTTAGAGCTGTGTTAATGGTGAAGAGGATAAGAGTTATGGTTTTGAACACTCAAAAAAAAAAAAGAAAAAATTCAAGAATCTTGGATTGAATAATAATATCAGGATTTCTGGTAAGGAAATATCTTTCATGGTTGAATTTCAAATTTTGTTTTATGTAATATTATTTCATTTTCAGCCTGTCCGAAAAAGTACAAAATATTTTTATATTTAAAAATAATTTATTTCTTTTGTTTTCTTTTAGTAAATTAAGGAAATAATAGATTTTTTTTATTTGTTTATTTTAGTAAATTAAGAGAGAATTGATGATTTGTTTTTATTTAAGCTTATCATTAAGTAACTATTTTCCAAATTAATTGGGATACTACTAGTCCACTTAGTTTTTAAAGTAACATTAATAAGGATAATTTAGTAAAATAAATACTTAATTACTTTTTAAAAAGGAGTACAAAATGTAAAATGGACAAGTAAAAGAAAATGGAGGGGGTAACTTCAAACTTCTCATATTACCTTTTATTTGAGATATATTTATACTCACACAAATATTTCTTATTTGTTTCAAGTCACAAATTTCAAAAATATTTATTTCTTTCTTCGATTCTATACCTGGTCAAACAATATCATATAAATTGAAATGCACGGAGTATGTATTCTCACCTCATCCATAATAAACTGGTCTACTTTGGTCCAAATAATGGTAAGTTTTTACCATTAATTTTAAAATAGTAGCTAGTGACTACTGTATTAATTTGTCATAAGGTGTTCAACTATATAATATGATAGTGGAAAAAATGTACTACCTGAAAACATATTTCCTTGCTTAAGATTATAAGAATTAAACGTTATCATTATGCCAAAAGTTAATTATTCTATGTAATACTAAAGTCAATTTTTTTTTTGTATAATAAAGTCACTATATTATGTGCTAGCTGTCAAGAAAATACAGAACACCAAAAAGTCAAATTTTGGTGCCAAAAAAATGACATGCCATTGCCAAATTGCCATGTCATCATCATTTTGCCAGCATGTGCATGCCACGTCATAAAAGATAAAGAATAAAATCTCCTTGTCGTACCCATATTATAGGCATAAACAATTAAAAAAAGTTTAAGAAGAAACGAAAACAAATTCAAATCGTCTAGTCTACTACATGACTTCCAGGATTTCACCACGAGCCAGATTTCACTCCCTGTGAATATAAATAAGCTCAAAATTTAAGCTTGATCGATCTAACTTTAGATTAGAATTCTTATCTAGTCTATTAGACATTAGCTGTCACGGACGGAGCTAGCTCTTCTTTTATGAGTTCGACCAAACTAAATAATTTTAAAATTTTATACTCATAAGCTTCAAACCATGACTCTATCTTTATTGGATTACAGTTATTAATGAAGAAGCACAAGGAGAATCTTGTCTTTCTTTTTCTCATATCTCTTAATTTCTCCTGCAACTTCAATCGGTCAAGGACTCCACGTATGACACGACGTGGATATTTGGCTTCTCAACTAAAAAGTGTCGAAAAAGAGTTTCGACGAGAAAATGTCAAGAGTACCTATTCATGACATTCATACCTTTCGTGGGTTAAAGCTCAAACAGTTGCTTAAACAACACAATTATCGGGCATTTTAGCAATACAGTTATTTTAGTTCAATTACTTTTTGATCTACCGTCTTTTCAAAGGGTATAATGGTCAAAAACCTCCTTCAAGACGTTTTCAGGGTAATATTTTTCGACGAATAATCACACTCTATTTCTTTATATAAAATTGAACTGCAGAAAACCAAAAAAAATCATGACCATTTGACAGAAAGATAGATACATAACGTCAATTATTGGGGCACACACATAATAGATTTTAGCAACGTGCTCCTAGAGTAGCAATAATAATAATAACATTCCCAATATGGAATTTAAGGAGGCTAGAATATACGCAAACTTTACAATAACTAACTAAAGCATATGCAAATTATGCATGAACTCTTCAATATAACCACTCATGAATCCTGGCCTTGTTAATGTATTCCACTTGGCATGATTTTTCTTGACCAAACAACCCAATTCACTCCCTTCATTCATTGCACTTCTTATAACCTTAGACAAATTCTCCTTAGTAAACCATCCATTTTCATCTCTTTCTACCTCAACTGCAACATTTAATTCATCAGCCAAAAGCCTAGTATTCAAGATTTGGTCACCTAAATATGGTATAAGCACAATTTGGCATTCACTCATTAAAGACTCCCACATTGATCCAAATCCACAATGACTCACAAAACACCCTATTGAAGAGTGACTCAAAATCCCAATTTGTGGCACTAAATCTCCATAAACTATGCCCATACCTTTAGTTCTCTCTTCAAATCCCTCTGGTAGGGCTTCTTCGATCGTCTTGACACCTAACGGAGGTTTTAAAGCAATTAAAAAAGGAAAACCTGTCAATTCAATTCCTAAAACAAGTTCTTGAAATTAGTTCTTTTCAAGAACCATTTGACTCCCAAATGCACAAAATTGAACGGACCCTGCTTGAATTGTTTGAGCCAATTAGCCCATTTTTCCTCTAAGAGCTCTTTTGATGTTGGTTCGGGCAATATAGGTCCAGTTAGAAACACTGGTTTATTATATTGGCTAGACAAATAGTCACATAAAGGTCCTTCTACTTCTCTACATGTCCTAATTGATATAGCATCACATTTTTTCAATGCTGTTGTGACACGATCATAAAACGTTACACCACGGCCATATTCGTGAAACATAAAGGAAAGAGCACGAGATTCGTGCTCGCGGAGCACTACTGCTGAAGAAGGATACCCTTTTGGCGGTTTTATCATTTCTTCAACAGTGGTGCACCAGAAGGACATGATTTTTTCACGGGGACTAACATAATTGCTAGAGATGCAGCACAAACGACGTTGCAACATATCGTTTTATAGCCAATTTCAGGGGCATAATCAGGTATCCAATAAGCAAAATCGTAAAATACAATGTGTGGTTTTAATTTTGCGAGTAAAAAATTAATTTGATCGCGCATTTGATCTAAGGCCGTGGCAAGATGACATGTTAGGAATATGGGCACGTCTGATGCGGTTTCTGTGCCCTGGGGAAGGCCTTCAACCCGAGGAATAGTAAGAGAATGAAATGTGATTAGATTTGGATGAAGATTGATGTTTTGCAATTGGAATTAAGCTTTTTTGGGCAATAAAAAGGAGATTTGATGCCCTCTTTTAGCTAGTTCGTTTGCAATGTGTAGAAATGGGGTGAAATGACCAAATGCAAACCATGGGAACATGGCTATGTGTAATTTTTTGCTGTTATAATCAGACATGTTATATGTATAGTGTTAAGTGTGTTAAGGTGAAGGAGACAATATATTCCATAGGACTTGCCGAAGTATGTGTAATGTGGCTTTTATTTTGGCCATCCTTTTAAAAGGTCTTGTTGGCTATTTTTTGTTCAAGTTAAAAAACATGTGAAAAGCAAGAAAGTTGAGTAACATGTGGCTGATTTATTAGCTTGTTTGGCCAACTTGAATTAATTCCACCGCAAACTATACCTAATACTTTATACTTTTGAAGGATCTTCCGTTGTTTTTGTTGTTATTGCTGTCACTTGTCACTATACCAAGCTTCTTCAAAGTCACAAATATTTTTTTTTTCTAAAAGTACTTTTTTTCTTCAAAGTTGAGTGTTTGGCCATACTTTTAGAAAAAAAGAAGTGTTTTTGAGTAGAAGCGGAAGCAGAAAAGAGTAGTTACTCCCCCAAAGCATATTTTTTTAAAAGCACTTTTGAGAAAATACACTTAATAGTATTTTTTTGGTCAAACACTAATTGTTGTTCAGAAGTGATTTTCTAATTAATTAGTCAAATACAAACTGTTTGTCACCAAAAGTACTTTTGAAAAAGTATTTTTCAAACTAAGCTGATTTTAGAGCTTGGCCAAACATGCGATTAGATAGTTAGGGCTCGTTTGGTTTGGAAATAAGCAAGAGCGGCTCAATTGAATATGTAACCTAAAACCAAAACTTAAAAAGAGGCCTAGATTTTTTAAAAACTAAATTTGTATGTATTTTATTTGATGTTTATTCTTATAGCTTCTAAAAATGCAAGGAAAGTCAACAAATTAGATAATACAAGAGATTCAAAAAATAAAATTTCCACATACATAAAAGGTCTTTAATAATACGAAAGTCGACAAATGTTGACCGGAGTATATTTAAAAAAGAAAATAATAATGAACTTGCATTTTATAAAGTCTTTTAACTACAATTCCTTGGGTTATATACAAGGTTATTCGTTTTAATCATGGCGTGCACGATGATTCTTCGAATTATTTTACGTGTGGAAAATACATGAGCTAATAACTTTCACTTCAGTTGGCAAACGTTTATAAATTATTTGTCAATTTTGACAAACGATTGTATAGTATTGGTCAAGTCTGCATAAGAGTTTATAATAATTGTAACATTTGAATAGCTCTGTGAAGGTACAATACGCAAATTATAGTCAACAAATTATTGGATAATGAGACTTTTGCTTCTTGATGCAAACGAGTTCTAATATCTAACACGGACACGAGCGCGGGGTGCCAACAATTAATATTATATTAATTTTTGAAAATATGTATATAAAATATCTAATTTTACGAAAAGACCATGAGTTCACGTACCTCATAATGTTGCCTGTAAATCCGTCTTGCCTGTAAAGTTCAAATTCTGGCACCATCTTTGAATGCGGGAGGAACTCTTAATCAGGAATTATAAGATCGAATTATGCACATGCACCAATTAATTATCTGTGACTAATTAATATTGTTGATCTGTGTGATAAGCAAGTGAAAGACCAAGTATTAATCACAGAGAGCAATGCTCGATCACAAATATTTGTACCTTCACCGTTATGTTTGGAGAAAAAAAA